TATCAAAGTTGCGTTTTTTTAAATGGAATGTCCTGTATATTATTGCATTTTTGGATTCGCTGAACAAAATAAGTGTCTGTTTTAATAAGGTTTATTATACCGAAATCGTAAGGTTTTTTAAATAATACGAATTTAATCAAAATCTAATATCATTTTCACGTGTCAAATACTTTAGAAGTATTTAAGTTATGTAAGCGTAAGTTATAGTGAAGGGTAACAAGATATAATATTTTATATCCCAGTGACAATAAACCCATATTTTCCATATTTTTTAACTTACCAGGAAATGCAATTTTTAATTACCTATCGAATGGTATTAGGATGTTAATAGCTAAGTTTTTGTCTTTTTACAAAATACGTCAAATAGTCGTTCTGTGCACCATTTGGTGTTGTTTAACTTAAGGTTCCAATGTATCTAAGTTGCCTATGCCATTTACACATGTCAAATCATTTATTTTATTTGTCAGTTTAGACTGCAAATCCTCTTTTTGATAGATAGAGTGGTATTGTTTTTTGTAATTGTAGACGTGTTGGTCCTTATTTTCATATTATTATTGTGTTGCTAAGTTAAAATGAAGAATTATCCAAGAGAAGAAGCGTATTGACATGATTTTCACCCTTGGAGAATGTCATAAAAATTGTTTATTGGCTTCCCAATGTTAGTCAAAATCTAATATCCAAAAGTACTAACATTAGTCAATCAAGTATTTCCAGAATTATCCAAAAACCAAAACTTTTATCCTTATAAAATTCAGCTTTGCCAAGAACTTTATGGAAAGGATTTTAAAAACCGAACTGAGTTTTGCATGTGGGTGTTAGATAAAGTGGCAGAAAATGAAAAGTTTTTCGAAAATGTGTTATTTAGTGATGAATGTACTTTTCATAACAATGGTCTCGTGAATAGACACAACTTACTTATTATTCTGATACGAATCCGCGCGCATACAGGGTCTTGAAAAATCAAAATAGGTGGTCAGTTAATGTGTGGGGTGGAATACTGGGCCAATATTTAATTGGACCCTATTTTTTTGAAGGACATCTAAATGGTTTGATGTTTCTCCAGTTTTTAATAAACCATCTCTCAATATTCTTAGAAGAAGTCCCTTTCAATATTAGAATCAACATGTAACTTCAATTGGATGGAGCTCCGCCTCATTATCACTGCGAAGTTCGGCAATTTTTAAATGCCAATTTTCAAAACAGGTGGATTGGCAGAAATGAGTTTAAAAATTAGCTCCCCAGATCTCCGGACTTAACTCCGCTAGATTTCTTTTTGTGGGGTACATAAAAGGAATTGTCTACCATACGCTTCCGATAACTTCACACGATTTGAAAACAYGCATAAGAGACGCTTTTAAAACTGTAACTCCGCAAATGTTGTCCAGAGTTAGCAGTTGTTTTGGACTGGACCATAATGCACGATCACCTGAGGATTTTGAGAGCCCCATATACGGCTGTTCTGTTTATTCACGTAACCAACGAGCAAAAAATTATTGATAATTTATTTACCATTGGAATTTTTCTTTTACAACTCTCATACCCTCTAGGTGAGAGTTCTTATTTAATTATAAAATGCGTTAATTTTTGATTAAAGAAATCCTTCTTTATTGTGAAATACGACCACTCTTTATCAATCTGTATAATAGAAAGCAGTGAGGAAATTCAAGCAGACAAAAAACAAAAATAAATCCAACTCAACCATATAGCATTTATCTATTGATGAACTGCCTACAGAGTTTGATATTTAACAGTGTGAGAGAGCATCCTTTCGTTTGCGAAAAAGAACTATTTTGGAATTATCGTATAGCAAATAGAAGTGGAAGTATTTACAAACGATATGAAAATCGAAAACTGATGAAAAAAAGTTGCCACTTATCAGAAACTCATTTGCTCACAATGGTGGGATGAATATTGCAAAAAGTCAAGGTGGCATTTTTGTAAATCTACAAAGGTCGACTTTGATACATGCTTCAGATTAATTTCAAGTTGATAGATGTAAAATATTTTACAAAATCTAAAACATTTGGAAAATGTAAAAAATCTTGATGGTGAGAAAAGCTTTCCTTCACTTAAACTGTTTCAATTTTTTTATTGGAAAGTTTTCATCAAGTTTCGATATTAAAAAAGGTGGAACTAGACTCTTCTGGAGGACATTCTCTAATCTCTCATGAACATCAGAAGGACGGTGTTATGTCTCCATTATCGTGCTCCGCTCCAGTTTAGAAAAGTTGTAATTTTCTCATTGGAAGTTATCAAAATCGATTTTGATTAGGGCGCGGTGGTCACATCGTCTATAGTCCCATAACTTTTCTCTGTGGAGACACCGAAAAACACTTAGTTATTATAAATATAGGAAGAAAATTTAACATTTAAAATTTTTTGGCCGTAAGAAAGGCCAACTGCAGGGACCAACCATCAGTATATAGAATTCAAAAAACGTATAAGTGAAATATGGTATAATGATTACAAACTTGAAATATTAAATTATTGCAATTTTTTCTTTTATTTCTTGTTATAATAAAAAATTTACTTCTATGCGATTTGAAAAGGTCGGTAGCAAACGCCATTGTGACACAAATAACCCATTTTTTTGCCTTTGTATAGAAAACTACTATTTGTCTAAGCTCTAATACAACGTGGTAAATTCAAACTCCCGATAATTCATGAACCGTTAAGAATTCATAAAAAGTGAAACGGCAAATTTTTGCTTTAAATCAGCATGGAATTTATAAACGAGATATTTCAATTTTCCTGATTACCTTTTTGTGTATGATAAAACACAGGTTTTCATCTTTTCGACTCGTCAATCTAGCAAGGTAAACCCTAACTACAATACATAACAAGAAATTTTTTTTATTTTGAGTTGCTTTACCTCGAAGAAATAATAAATATTTAACGCTCTACATCTTAGAAACCATTCCAAAAAAAGTTGTTGGTAAAGAATTATCTACAAGGTTTATCTATTTTTAACCTGCCATTGCGGCGTAAACTAGTCAATTACAATAATTTGTAGTAATAAACAGAATAATTATGAAAACTTTACTTTAAATCGTCCGCCAACTTTTGAGAATCGATTTCGGAGTCAATCACCGAACGTGCTCTACGCTATTCATTGAAAGGTGTCAAGGGCTGTCAGTCGGCCATTTCTGAATAGAAAGACGGCTCGTGTGTGTTTCTTGGATAGTATTATTTTCTGGATTTTGCAGCAATAGCTATAAAGTTGTATAATAAATGTTGCACGATCATTTAGCTCGTTCAGAGGACTAGTTGTAGAGCCAAAATGACTCAGTTTCTACCGCCAAATCTTTTGGCATTGTTTGCTCCTCGGGATCCTATAGCATATTTGCCTCCAGTTACAAAGTTGCCCCATGAGAAGAAAAACCGAGGATACTTAGGCCTAGGCGCATTTCTCGGAGGATTTGAGGTAAGTACTTGTTTGTTGTTTGGAAATTCAACATTATGCAGGCGCTTGCTTTAATATCAAAACGTGTTATTGATTTCATATCCGGAGTTTCAACAAAGATCAGAGATTCTTGGTTCTTTCGAAAATTTCATTAAACGTAGTCCGATTTTTATATAAGTATGTTACAACTTAAAATATCTGTTGACATCTCAAAAAATCTGCAGAATTGTCTCAAAATACATGTTTCCTCATCTAAGTCATGATGAGGCTTACGCGTCTATCGTATGGTCCCCGATAGAAAATACATTTACCCACAACTTTTTCTGTGAAAATTAGATTTTCGATTACTTTTCACTCATTGAAATTCACTAGTTTTGGATGAAATTCCAAAGTACTGCATAACAGCCACTGCGATTTGAAAAATTTCACGCATTCATGCATTTCATGCATCTTTGTATTTGTTGCTTAGACACATTTTATACACATTTGGGTTAGTTTTGTGTCTATGTAATACCTATGTGTTTTCCAAAAATGCTCTTTAAACACTAAGCAAATGAACATGTCGGAGTTGCTCGGGTTCATATGAAGGGCTAAATCCAAAATTGGAGATGTTTTAAAAGTAGATGTTTGTTTAAAATCTCATTAAAAACACGCAAACGTGATATTCGCAAAAATTGTAATAAATTCGTATGTAAAATGCAGCAGACAAGTGTAATTATCTCAGAATATATTTGAATTATTTTGAAATGCTTTAGGAAGCAGTTGGAATTTTCCAAATTTCAAAGCCCCACTGTCTTAAAAATTTCTAGGCCTACTGTTCAACCGACTTTGTATTAATTGCGGTTTTCGAAATTTCAAAGATCGTTCATCCACCCAGTAGAAGGGTGGAAAACGATGTTACGTGACCAGAAAGCCGAATTATTTCATTGGTATTTTGAATTTTTTGCCTTCATTTCACAGGCATGTAAACACAAACTGTTTTAGTTAAGTGAAATGCGTAAATCGATTATAGGTTAGCACTAAATTAGTTAAGTTCGCTTCAAGTCTTTTTTGATATAAAATAATGTTAATTTAAAATAAATTATCTTCCTCTATTCAGGATCCTAAAGATACTCCTCCGCCGACGAAGGTTGAGACTAGAGATGAACGACTTGAGCGTAGGCGACGAGAAAGAGCTGAGCAAGTGGCATACAAATTAGAGCAGCAGATTGCCGTATGGGACCCAACTACGGCTGGCAACATAACAGGAGATCCCTTTAAAACTCTGTTTGTTGCAAGAATTGTAAGTGTTGCCTGTCTTAAGATTGATAATGACTGTATTACATTCGTTGCATACTTGTACTGCTTCAAACTTATTCGTCACCGTTTATTGTGTCGATTATATAAATGTTTATTTATTTCAGAATTACGACACTTCTGAATCAAAACTGCGGAGGGAGTTTGAGGTTTATGGACCAATTAAGAAAGTAAGTGAACGATAATAATAATTACTTGTGTGCAAATTGATAATATATTTAATTTAATTCATATAGTCTTCGTAATTCATGTTACTGATTTTGTTTGTCTTCCTCAGATTATTCTGATCCACAACAGCGCGAATGGGAAACCAAGGGGGTATGCTTTTATTGAGTATGAACATGAACGAGATATGCATTGTGAGTATTGCCGTTTCAATTATTCTTTTGCAGCTTGATTTAGAGTGTAATCTGCATGTAACAGTCCATATTTGGGATCCGTTTCCGTTCATTAAACTCCTATTTTATGAGTATTAAGCAATGCAGATTAAACTCTTAATTTACATGAAACCTGAATTGGGAGAGCCGTCCAGTGTGGCGCGTTAAGTTGATCTCTTCTCTTTATGTAGCCAGCAATTGTAGCTCTTAAGTCCAATAGATACAAAATTGAAAATATATACAATATATATTTTTTCTATTTTTATACAGTTCAAACTTCAAGCAGCTAGTTCCAATTGCCGATCTGCTTTTTGCTGGCTATATAGGTTTGTATGTGTGGTAAGAACCCTGCATACAAGTACTTTTGCAAAAGGGTAATAATTCTCTAGGGGGGCGAATCGTTATTCCTATAAATTTAATGCGGATACCATACATCGCAATTAAAGATACTCCAGTCTGAAAACCGTGTCGCCTTTATTTTATATTCAGAACGGGAAACTTGAAAATTAAATTCGTATACTATTTGGTTGCGTTCAACTTGTGGCATAGTTTAAAAAATTCGAAGTGAAATTTTTTAAACGTATTTTTATTAGCCGTAAACGTTCTCGAAAAAGTGGTTTGTTTGGCTGTGAACGTTATTAACAATTACATATCTCAAAACGTGACCTAAGCATTTCAAAAGATTTCCCACTAGAAATTAAATTATCTTCCCACGTAATGGATGAATTACCGAGATATTTTTTTAACTGTAACTGAAATCAAGAGAGTTGAAGTAAGTGGAAATATGTTTATTTCGTTTGTGATCTTGACTTTATGAGCATGGATGAGAAATTAAACAATAAAATAAGCAAGGTATAATTATTGTTTTAATTAATGTCAATGAATTATTAGATTCAGCTTTATATAAAAGCAGAATATTTTACACTGAGTGAAATAAATTACTATTTATTTGCTTACGTTCTTAATGTGCAAAAACTGTCCAAAAGTAAATACGTATTTTGCTGTTTTTTGACTAAATTTTTTTGTCAAACTTGTTCCATTCATTGCCAATAATTACCCAGCTGGTATTGATCGATACAATTTTTATCTTCTATTGAATGTCTTTATTTCATGTCCAAGTAAAATCCCAAATACTTAGAAAAATAAAACTTACATGGAGCAAGTTTGTAAGGGGTTATTTAAAAAATGGGTTTGCGCTCAGTAAGTAATTGCGCACCAGGTAAATCAGTATCAAAATCAGGAGCATCCTGTTCAGCACACCGAAGTTCTTGAAATCTCAATATGTTGTCCTTTTTATAATGACGTTTCGTACCGACGTAAGTAGTTTCGGTAGGTATATTTCATTTATACCTATTAAACAGTTTTGTGGTAGTGTTACTATGATTTTACATACGGTATTCCAATTGCGATATGAACTTTTATTTTAAGGCTGTGGCTTTACATTTTTTTAGAAGTTTGAGAAAACGCCTTCGCGAATGCTCTTTTAGTGAAAAATTTGTTCGATTTTTTTATTAATAAATCTTAGCAAAATTTAAAATACACAATCAGCCCATAAATAATTGTGTGTCCCCACCAATATTAAATCGCATCTCCACTTCAAATGGACGTGAAAATCGTGAAAACGAGGAATGTAATAAATCGCCGGTTAAGTGCATAAACTGTTGATGCGTGTGTTGATCAACGGAACTCTTACCTGTGCGCATTTTCTGAAACTTTTCAGTTGAAAATCCGCTACAATTGTCAACCATAAGTCGCATTGTGCCATACCATAGCAACATTACCATTTCCTTTAGGTCATTCCGCCAAATTCGTTAGGGGACGTCCATGGAAATTTTATATTTGTGTTGATTTTAATCTATGATATTGGATTTCACAGCAGAAACTGACCAATTAAAAGCTCTTCATTTTAACTGTTCGCTCGATTGCTATGTCTAAAATAAACGAATCATACCTTTTTAATGTCGAAAATGATGGCTTGATTGTGAAATGAATATCATAGATTTGTACCTGATGTACTAACTTTCAATGCATTAATTTTCACATTTCATCAGTTTGCCACTTGTTCAACGAATACATAGCTATGGAATTTCAAGAATAAACATCACAAAGATTGAATGTTAATTTTCATGCATTTTTAGAACATCAGAAATAAAGCGTTATCTCAATCATATTTACCTTCTTGTGTAACGTTACGTTTGTATTTACAGCTGCCTACAAACACGCCGACGGTAAGAAAATCGACGGAAAACGAGTCTTAGTGGACGTCGAAAGAGCTAGAACTGTTAAAGGATGGTTGCCACGAAGGCTCGGTAAGATAAAATTTCGCCAAATTGTTTTATTTTCTCCATTTGATATTTATATATAAGATTTAAGTCGGATGCGTTCACTAAAACTGAAATAATGTCAAAGTACAATTTTTATACCTCTTAAACAATCAACAGGCGGAGGTTTGGGAGGAACCAGACGTGGTGGAGCAGATGTAAACATTAAGCATTCTGGTCGTGAAGACAATGAAAGAGAACGCGAGAGGTATTTACGAATCGAAATTCATGACTATATAATTCTATTTATTAAACCTATATTAATTCTCAGATACCGACTGGAAAGGGAAAGAGAAGAACGAGGAGGAGGAGTGGTAGGCAGGGACCGGGAGAGAGACCGTGACAGAGGCTTTGAGAGACGACGCTCCCGTTCTAGGGAACGTAGGAGACGTAGCAGATCCCGTTCACCCAGAAGGGAGAAAAGGCGCAGAAGTAAAGACAAGATTAAGGACGATGTTGACGAGTTTGAGACAAGACCCAGAGAAAAAGATAGAGAAAGGTATATTGCAACTCATTTTCTAAAACACAATTGATGCTCATTATAATATTTTGCCAAAGGGATCGCGATCGCGATAGGAAAAGAAGGCGATCTAAATCAAGAGATAAGGATAAGGAGCAACGTAAACGGGAAAGAAGAGAGAGGCGCGACAGAGAAAAGGGCGAAAAACTGGAATACATCAAAACTGATGATGGTGGGGAAGTTAGGATCAAAGAAGAACCTGCAGATGGTAAGTTTATTTTGCTGCTACTTCTATTTTAATTAAGTTTGTAGGCTGAATCAAGCCGAGAATCTAAAGGAGGTTCATATATATTAAATATTTGTTTGTTTCAGATTACGATTACGGCTATTCTACACAACCTTACGACCAAGCCAATGTCAAATTTGAAGAGGATGAACAAAAGTACCAACCCGATAAAGACCATTCGAATGGTGATCGGACTTACGAAGATTATGAAGAAGGCGAAGCATATTAATCGTACGTGCTTTTCCGTTATAGCAAAACACATAATTTAGGTAAGGTCCCAGTTTGAGCACTGTATTAAATTTGAAATTTATAGACACTAAACTTAGGCTCTAAGGCGAAGTATTGTTTTTAGTGCGAACTCGTTTAAGCTTAAATGCATTAACCTAATGTAATTTTTTAATTGGTATTCACTGCTATTGATCATCGATGTCAAAGCCTACAGGAGACATTAATAAATTCGTCGACCGAACAATATGCTTAGATTTAGTTTTTTTTCTGATTAGTAAATGATGTAAACAATGAAATTATACAAATATACCAAGAAAACCAAATTTAATACATTTCTAATACAATAACTAATATTTACAAGATATATTAATTAAACACATACATATCTTATCACTACAAATTAACCGTTGACAGACGAAACATTCCGCTACTCGTGTATTTCTCCTTCTTGTGATAATTGAACAGTTGTCTTCACGAAACAGGACCGGGCGACCGATTCAAACAATCTGGAAATAAAGCCGTTTAGATTTCAGAGACAAATCCAGCTTGTCTGGATAACACATTGTATAAGGTCAAACATGATTTAATCAATCCGAAAATGGACGGTTTTCGTAATTCAGCTGATTAAAAATACCTGAGTATGTAGTTTGATATTGACTTTTTGAAAAATTTCCCGTATCCCGTATAAAATTCTATACTCATTAAAGTGGGCGCTTCAAAAATATAAATTATGGTATAACCGCATTGTACATGTTTTTTATGAAGAAAATGTATTTTGGTAGAAGTATCACAGAAATGACTCAGATATTTAGAGTTTAAAATTCACATTATCTCTCGTTATGTAACTGTTCGGGCGTTGAATGCCTCGTGTGTTACTCTTAATCAATAATTAATAATTCGTACGAGGAACTGACGCCTATAATCAATTTTAAATGTTAGGTCGCATAATCCTTGTAATGGCGAGATCACTTTAATTATACAGGGTGTTCACACTTGCTGGCACCCTAGACGTATACGGAAAAGTGACTGAATTGCTCTAAAAAATTGGCAATCAGTCGAGAACAAAACAAAATTTAAAACTCAGACAGTACTTTGGTATGCTACAAATTTTTACGAATCCCGATAGCGCAGTTATAACTGTTTTGAAGAAAAATTGGAAAATAATTATTTACGAAAAAAACATTAAAGGTGGATAAACAACATATTCAGATTGTTTTCCGTCTGAACATGCACCGCCTTGTAAGTTTTGCAGGTTGCAACGGGCCCCCAAAAACTTTTCCAAACGTTCATTTTTTCTGTTATTGCTATATCCCCTCACGTAAACATTTTTATCTGGAAAAAACTTACTTTTCAATTTCCGGCGCACAATGAACAAACTGATGTTGCCAAAACTTGTAAGTAGGATTCTTGATCAGCTCGATGAAAGTTATTAAAAGACCCCACGGATGAGGTCTGTTTACAATTAATCGTTCCAACAATACCCTGGTGATTTGCTCTTGAATTACTTCAGTATTAGCTTCAGCAAACAAATATAAAAATGTGCACGAGAAATAGTGCGTATGACTGTTGGGATATCTCAGTTGGTTCGCCATCGCATTAAAGAATAGGTATCTGCCCTCCGTATCCAAATCAACTGTTAAGTTCTGGAAAATATCCATATGGGCACTGTGTGCTATTGTCGACATACTTGGAGAGTGACTCTGTAACACAATTGTTCAATTTAAGATAGTCAATCAACATGATTTGATGCTGAAACTTGCACAGAAAATGTCCAATAAACTTATCAAGCTGCATATTGCCTTACCTTGTTTTTGATGTAAGCTATAGCCTGTGTCCCAACATACAATACTAACGCATTCATGAGTGAAATATTGTATCGAATTCCCGGCTCGTTGGACACTTGCAGATTGCTCCTAAGCTCGGACAGAAAAGTGACTGGAGCTCTTGCCTTTAAATAGGAATCCAAATCTTTTTTGAACTGTGGTGGCGATATCGTCGCGGCTATGTTGGTTAGAATTCTGGGAGCGTAGGTGATTTCAGGCAACATATCAACCTTGAGGTTGGGGATGAATGGATCTGGCAATCTCATAGTGCGTGGAAAGGCCGATAATATCAGGTTTCGCATTTGAATGCAGTTGGGTGGAATTACATCGCAGAAGCCGTAATAATTATCACATAAGAATTCAGGGAAATCGTGAAGAAGCACTAATAGTACCCTCAGAGTACCTTTGTACAGCATTGTCACAGGCTTTGCCAGTTCAGCGTTGCGCAAGAATGGGGCCAAATATTTGAATAGGTCAACAAGCAACTGTGAATACAACGGCCAGCATTTCTGCTGAGGTGTCGTAGCAAGCATTCGTCCAATAAAAACTCGATGAGAAATGAGTTCTAGCCAAGCATAACAAAAGCCGGCGGCTTTTGCAGGTCGGAGAATGTGGAAGGTGTGACAGTATGCAGTCAGAACGTGAAAATTGAGAGCTTCTAACACTGGTTCTGGAGCATTTAGTTCTAAAAAGAGCATCGTGAAGACTCGTTGATAAGGCATCTGGTGGAATTCGCCCAATCTATTATCATGATCCTGCAAGAGTACTCCGGCAACTATCCCCAGCACTTTATTAAGCAGTTGAACTTTAGTAGTTGTATTGGAGCTTTCTCCTGAATGTTTCACAAGCAGAGCCACCAACCGAACAAATGCATCTAAAGTATGATAGCATTTAGATCTTCCACCAGTTGAATTAAGAGTGGATTTGTCACACAAAATTCGGTAGCACGTATCAATACATATCTGCGTCGACAACCGAAAGAATCTAGTAATGAGATCGTCCGTTTTCAAAATTCCGTGTAAATTCATTTGATGCACGAAAACGCTGAAAGACTTTGTCGAATCGCGACCTTGATGAGTAGTGTAAATATTAATCCATTCTCTGATTAAGTACTCAGTTTTGTCTACTAGTCCTGGGGGATCTTCGTAATTTGGAGTGCGCACCTGAAAAATATTGCACGAGTTAGTGATAGGCCGAATATGCCAATTCCCATCTAATGCAAGAAGATGTGATAAATTGATGATTATTTCTTATGAGTGTTCCAATATTTTAGATAAAATATTGATTTTCAGTTTCATTATACTGGGTGTAACGAACGAATTCACGAGCAAAAATCATATCATAGTTTTACTCTGCGAAATTTCCTTTGAAATCTACATTTCGAAAAGTAATTTTCAAATCTACCGTCATTTCAAACGCTAAAGTACAACGAAACAAAAATTTACAGGAGCTTCATAATCTCTCAAATATTTTCAATTATATTTCTAACACCATGTAATCCATGTTACATTAAGGTGTGTTTAAATTAGAAAGGAACAATTCAATAAGCCATCCAACAATCAGATAAGCCGAAACTTCATAAGAAAAAATCACTGTCATTAAAAACGTTTGATAGTAATCTGAAATACATTTTTTATGTCAAAAGGTTAATAAGAAATTCCCGTATATTTTCCTTACGTCCGAAAGTGTTCTTGTTTTGTTTTAAACGCTTTCAGACAGACAAAACTCAAGTTCTTTAATGGCGTCTTACCATCTGTCCCTCATTAGCCTACGCAAGGTAATCTATTTGTCGAACATTCCACTGTGATAAAACAACTTGTACATTTTTAACTGGATATTCGAATAGAAGATAATATTATGTCTAAACAATCCAAAGTATTGATTGAATTGCAAATGTCATGAATAATTCCGGGTGTCAGAACGACAAAAAACATTTAAATGCGCAAAAATAACTGGTAGCACGATATTGTTGCACCTGATTTGCACAGATACGAAAATCTTTCAGAAATTCCGTAGATCCCGAAAGTTTATCCAAGAACTGCATGACCGGAGCATTAATTGTAATCAATAAAATCGGAACAATAGTGTGGATGTAACATTTTTAGACCTAAATAATCACAAAAACTGACAAAGTGCTGTTTTATTTATTAATCGTTCTTATTGTCTTCAGTACAAGAAAACCTTCAAATTTTAATACCTCTGCCAACCTCAATTAGTGTTTCAGTGGATCTCAAATCAAGTACACGTTTCTTCGTTGATAAAATGAAGTAAAAGAGCCTGCTGGATTAAGAAGTTACCTCATCTACCTGCAATATCCCGGAGTGTATGTGTACAGTTGGTCCAATCGAGCGGTCTCCACAAAACGTGCTATCTTGGTTTTGTCTTAATAAATCTAAAATTGTATTTAGTCCATCCGGTGGTTGTCTAGTGTGATTCTGTATCTTTACTAAGAAGTCGACTGTATTGGGAAACTCAAATTCCTGACCGCTGAATTGTGCAGGCCTGCAGAAAAGTTAAATATTTAGAAATTAATCTACCTATATTATTTGCGTTCGATGATTATACATTAATATATTTTGTTTACTTTCATATTGTATGAACTTACCTCTCATTTATGAGAAAGTGCTCAACTAACTGGATGGCGAAATTTTGCCCAATATAGTTGAAGTTCGCTTCTAGTACTTGGGCTAATGCCAAATCATATTGAGGCACGTTAACCAATGAGGCTTTGATGAGAGTGTCAACAGCTTCCAGATTGTATCTTTGTTCTTCACGAGTTTCAATCAAACATCTTGTTACCAATTTGGTGACCCATTCTTGGCTGAAGATTCCTGAAATATTAATAAAAACGCAAATTACAAAACTTAATTAATCCCAATTTACAAAATAATTACCTTGAATAGTTTTTAAAATTTTCAAGACAATTTCTTTGAATCGCAACACAACGGGATCCGTTTCGCTCATATTCGGGTGCAAACAATCCTGAAGGGTCTCCACGCACTTTTGAACCAGAGCTTGTGGTGGGGTAACGTTTACATCCCTAACTCGTGATGAACTTATTATGCACAGCCGCAGACGCATCATTCGATCATTCAAAACTGCATTTGACTGGGAGCCGATGAGAGATACAAATTGTTCAATGTCCTGGACATACTTTTGTAAGTGAATAGCAAAATCACCGACTACTGCCATTGGATATGATGAAACCGGTTGCGGTTGAGTATCCAAAGAATTTAAGATCGGAGCCTGAATAGATACAAGAGTAGTATCTCGTTCGTTCGGCAGAAATCCTGGTATGTTGCGCCCGAACTCTTCATAAACAGCCATTTGGCTACTAGTTAGGCCTCCAACTTTCAACCGAATCTGTTCCGGCATACGTTCAGCTTGATATGTCAAAGCCGAGTTATCACAATAGCGTCTGAAAGTAAAACCCGAACATGAGATATCCTTCAAAATACAATCATCTGAGCTTGCTTAAAATTAGGCATCCATATGCATTTTTAATTGTGAAATTTTTCTTTGAAAATATTTTCTATTTACTTTTTAACTAAATACAGTCTCATATTTACGCATAATGGTATATGCACATTAGCAGGCACTTATCGTTTCAGGAATGAAGTATTTCGATTCTGGCAACCGAACCACGTGTTCAAATTTTTGATGTGGCTCATACGATATGTGCCTAACAAAATGAATCTATCTGGTCCATATGTAAACCATTTAATAATATTTTTTGTATATTTGTATCTGATAATGTGCAAAGACCTTTAAGCAACTGTCCTTTGCGGCCGCAACAAAATGTATAGTGGCCCAATTTAGGATTTCGTTTAAAGCGAATGTTAGTTTTTTGCAAGAATGATTGATTTTCATTAGCCCCAGGCAACACTTCCAGAGGAGTGATGATTTTGAATCACCCTGTAACTTCGCTACGAACAAAAATGCATACATATTACTTTGCGGAACCCACATTGATTCTTTTCGGGCAATCCTTCGAAGCTCATATTCGCCACTTAGATGTTTGTCTATTTCAGGAATAGCTTTTTCGATTGCAGTTTTCTGCACTATAGCACAAGCCAGTTCCGTGTTATCATTAGCAATCACGTTGGCAGCTTGGTCGATCATTTCCTTTTGTTGAATACTGGGAGTAACTAAATTCGTATTAAGCAGCTGTTTCATATGTGTATTTATGGAAGATAAAAGCTGATCACGACAGGTTATCATTGCCATTCCTGCTGTTAAATTCCGTGCCTAAAATAAAAGTTGCATAAATAACCATACGCTAATTAAAACGACAATTTATAGAACGATACACCATGATAAAATTATAAGAGAATCTTTTGCAAGCATTACTTGTAAAAAATTAGGATATTTTATATATATCGCACTACTCCGTTAAAGTAACATAATACCAATCTAACTAATATTTGCACATTTAATTTTTCCGCCTTCACACAACAATTAGCTGTAAAACTTTCACAAAAATCTATTAAGGGACTCATTCCTCTCGGATCGTTCAAAGTCAAGTTACATATTCCGTCGGTCTTAATGCGGCAGATCCGAGCAGACGAAAACATTCACAAATCTAGACCGGATTTGAATACGGATCCGGATTTAAGGCCGCTTTGGCACAACATATTAAGTTGTATAAACTCAGATTCTCAGAAAAATGGCGTGAAAATCAAGTTCCGGTGCTCTTGTTAAATTCAAAACAAGCATTCAAGTCTCCAGATACAACATAAACATGCTCAAAGATTTATAAAATCGAGTAATTAACTGACTTAAAAGCTGGTATATAATTTCCCATAAAAAGTCTATTCCCCCAAGTTGAAGCGGATTGAAGCGGAACGTGAAACTTGTCTTTGAAAATGCGAACACACACTTTCTACGAAATAGTCTACAATAAAAAAAAACTTCGAACTGCAAAGTGAAGTAATCTCATCGCAAGACGGCCAAGGGAACGATTATATCATTATAAAACCTCAATTTTGGCGGAATTTTTTCAACAAATTGAATGCGATTTCACTTCTGGACATTGATTTATAATATAATATATTATTACTTAATATTAAGTAAATTTCTTAATATTAAGGCAAGATATCGTCAAGCGCATCTCAAACATTCGTTAAGAAGCCGTTCTGTATTACACTCTGTAAATTTGGTTGGATTGACGTTGTTACTACTTTCTACATAAATCTTTGAACTGTTACGAATTTTGTATCGTTTGGACATTCTGCAAAATAATTTTGGCAACATTTACACAGCATATCCAGCGGTAAAAGATCAAAGCTGCTGGAAGTCAAAGTTTGGATGGCTTGAATGTAGATCTGCCATGTAGGCCGACTTTACACAATATATGAAACTGAGTTTCATAAAAATCGAGCAAAAAACTAAGCCGAGTAATAGCGTTTAATTTTATATAAAAAAGTCTATTCCACCCCATGATTGAAGTTGTTTACATTTGGCTGAGAAAACGGTTTTGTTTACGACGATTTTCAAAACCAGTTTGAATGAGACACTTGCGTTTGAAAATATAGCCGTATAAACTGGAACTGTCTACAATATTGTAAACAAAAAAAAACGAAATCGAACTACATAGTAAAGCAATGAGTCATACAAAGGGCGACTAGAAAATGATTATATCACCATCGCAGTTCTGTAGCTCGGCAGCTAATAAACCTTCATATCGCATGAGTTTTTTCCATAAGCAGACTGAATATTCAGTGTATAGCGGGCAACGAATGATATGTCGTCGGTTCTTGGTGTCTTGCCGGTATATATAAAATTATTTGGTGCCAATGAAATGAGTTCGGTACATCATCCTGCCCGTTTACTACACGACTGTGGATTGAGGGGTAGAAAATTGATGGGGCGGCAGCTTGCGGAGATCTGGTAAGAAGGATTTCTACCTATACATTTCTTTCCTTCAACTGAGCTTAGTTTTTCGAGAATGAACTGCAGTTTTGACTTCTTACATTTTCCTTTCATTCCTTTGCTGGCTTCAAATAATCGGGCTATGGGCCAAGTTTCAGTTATACTAAAAAAAGTTTTTCTTTCTTTCCAGGTAGCACGATGCACCTTTCGGTAAGTGAAACATTCCTTTGCCCTTGGGTGCCGTGTAGGTGCATAATTTTTTTAGTCCCATATTGTTGACTTATATTTTATGGTATTGTCGCATGTAATATTTATAATTAATGAGTATTCTTTGCAACGTTTAAACTACTTTAGTTCAGTTTGACTGCGTTTATTTCTATCTCATTAACAAAGAAAAATTGCGCAACTTCGCATATAAATCAAAATGATCAATTGACGAACAAGCTCGTTATTATATAGGCAAAAAGTGATTTAGACTTGCGACTTTAAAGTTGTACTGAGTTTTTATACGATAAAGCTAAACTTAATCTGAAGCGGCAAAAGTACTCACCATTAAGTGGGCAGCGATGCGCATTTTTTCTTCGTCAGGTTCCAATGCAAAATCTTTTCGAATAATAGCTTCGCACGTTTGAAGGGCAATTTTAACCGATCTATCCAACACGGGTGGCAACCATTCTTGTACAGCAAGTTCTATGGCTTTTTTGGCTAAAGCCTTCAGTTGGGGTTGAGTTTGGAACAAGACAGCGTTTGATGAAATTACTGCATGCGTTTGAATTGCCTGCATACTGTTAGTCACTATATCTCCATAACTGAATCGGGGCTCTGGCATGGCCAAACCGGGTGTCGGTGTTGTGCTAATGTTGTGCATTGCCTGTAGATACAAAGAAAATATCATTGAAAAGCGATTTTCCATAATGGAAATTAAATAATTATTCACATTTGTATTTAGGTTTCCTTTTCCAAGCCATAGACACAAATGATTTTGGTTTAAAAAATCGTGATCATGATCATCATATAGATCATGATATAGATTTGTGTGGTCTAATTACAAATTCGTCACTTTGAAAATCAGAATAATTTTTTCCCAACATTAAATGTCATAATAAAAGGACAATTAAATATGGCTAATATGGAAAAAAATTACATTTAATAAAAAAGGAAATATTGAAAATAGTATGAAATAAAGTGAATTACCGGCGAACTGCTATTGCGGTCGGCAATAATATTCACTAGTTCAGGCTCCGCCATATTTGTACTTTGGTTTCCGTGAGCAGACATATTTTGTTCTTTTTTGATCGGCTGAGATAATTGGTACTCGATCTTTCTTATTCTCTCCGGGTCCTTCAGATAAATTGCAGGCTTCAGTTGACCTACATCAATTTCCAAATTCTTGCATAACACCTAAGAATTCAATTATATAATACCGATTAAATTACTCCTACATAATACGTATATGGGAAAATTCACGGAACCTTCAGATTTTCACATTTTTTATTTTGAAAAGAAAGAGCACATACATTATTGATAAATTGATATGTTTGAGTTTTCAGAAACAATAATGACAAAATTATAAAAATAGTTTGCTGTAAAACCTCGTTTGCTGAACGCTTATGAATAAAAAAAGCTATAAAGATTCGAAAACCATGAAAAGCGATACCCAAACCTAGTTTTTTAGTTTAGTTTGTCTATCAAAGAACTAAAAGTGGTCAAATTTTGAAACGATTTGGTGGATTGCTGAAAAAGTTACAGTTGATACGTGGGTATACACCTATACTCAAAGTCCCCTATATCAAAAGTTACAGGTTTAAATTAGCTGTTTTGGGGGATTTTGATATTTATGATTCAATGTATCTTCATATCTCGTAGAGGAAAATATTTACCAGTGACCAAAATACTAATACTAATGTGTTTCTGCCAACAGCAACACAGAATTTAGATTTTACTATATTAAAAAAAATATTAACGAGATACAGCGAATCTAAAAGTTTCGTAGATTTTCCCATATCTGATTTAATGTTTAAAGACAACTTTTCTTATCTTTATTTGTATGTAATTATTAAAATACTAACTTCAATTTCGAACTTCAGAGTCAGCTTTAAATTTGATTCAGAATGCAGTTCAGCCAGTACATTCATTAATGCCATCGTCCAAGGGTTCGGAGGCTTAAAAACTTTACTCTTAGAGCACGATTCGAGAACCTGAAAACAAAATAGCTTTTGTTATTATATATTATAGTTTGGCATTGTTAGATCAGAACTGCAAGTTTCGCAGACGGTTTCATGGTTATAAAGTAAAAAATTAGTTTCGTTCTAGTTCGAGCGTAATTAAGTCGCTAATTAGACACTAACCTTAGCAACAAAAGGAACAACATATAGCAGTTCCTGGGGACCTTTATGATAGGCTTCAACAAGTAAAGATTTCAAGTCTAATTCGATTTGCAAAATCGGTTTGTTATGACTGAGAGTTAACATTCCCAACCAATGGCCCAGATTTTTCAGCAGAGACCTGTCTGAAAAATTGGCTATTGCTTTGTCCGAACTGAGTAGGACGCGAATGTTTCTGGAAAAAAATAAAGCCATATTAAACATCAATATATGCACTTGTGACAAAATGTAGTTTAAGCTCTCAAACAAGACCATTATGGTTTTATGAAGAAGAAGTATAGTTAATTCTGATACATACCTAAATGTTTCTTTTACAACCATCTTATACAACTCGATTATATTTAAGGTATCCACACAGTTAGAGTATAAGCTGTGAAAATTCGATTCAATCGAGGCTCTCTTCATAACCAGATACTGGGACAGCCACGGATAATATTCATCCGATATGTGTTCTCGAAGTTCGTCACATTTCACCTTAAGGTTTAACTGGCTCAGGTTATTAAAAATAAAAGCTATTTTGTCTTGCAGTGTATCCGGTGGAGCAATTATTTTTTCTTCCTTTTCTGTAGCTACAAGCAGCGTGTCTATGTTTGTAGCATTAGCTATTGACGGTCTAGTGCTTATTGTGCTTCCTGGTGTAGTACTAGATTTTGTAGATGAAATTGCGCTTCCTACCGTGGAGGCTCCTTTATAAACCTGTACGTTAGCACTTGGAGGCGCTAGCATTGCTGCTAAACTGGCAGGTAAAACTGGACCCTCTGGTTTCGTAGGCGGTTCTAACCCCTGAAGTCCAAACTCGATGTACTCTTGCAAATGCGGAGGAAATTCGCTGAAAAGTTGTAGTAAAAAATATGTATTTATAGTTGATACTGTATGTACTGTGTCCAAGATAAACCCCAATCCAAAACGGACTTCACTCATAGCTACTTTAGCTCAGCGTTTAGCAGTTACGTATTAATGAGGCTCGCATGAATTTGTGGTTGTTGAAAACTTACCTAAAATGTTGTACTGTTCTGACATGTTCACAATATTTGTGGTATTCTTTAAGTCTCCCTTTGAAACGATCCAAAGCAGTAATTCCGAAATAGTACATTTTCGAACCTTCAGGTTTCTTCAGGGCTTCCAATACAAATCTCAAAGCAAGACCTAACGTTACGTAAGAGGCAACTATACCTCTTTCGATTATTCCACCAAATAATTGGGCGGTGATGTGCAGTTCTTTGTCGGGGTATTGTGGGAAAAATTTGTATTCTTCGAAGAGGCTCCTCAACATACAATTAAATACCTACAAGTGCAACATACAATGGGCATGCTTAATTGTAACTAAAAGCTGGTGGTACGAAATTAATTCAATCTCCATTCAAGTTGAAGCGGAGTTTAAGACAAGTAAAAATTTGGGTTGTAGTTGTTCAGCGCTAAGCTTAGTACGAGTTCAGAATGAGGTGGAGATTAGTTGAACCCACGCTTAAGCTTGCTTCAAATTTGAATTATGTACAATACTCACTTCCTTTTCCCTTTTACTTGGAGAATCCTGGAATCTTTTCAACATGACCAATACTTCATCAATCGAGAGATTAGCCTGTGGTGGATGATTATAAATTCTTTGGAAATAGTTGTTAGCTTCATCCTCAATGTCTTTTGAAACATGGGATGCTCCTTCCGGAAATGGGTTATATTCTTGTGCTCGAGACTTTTCCATATTAGCCACGGGGCCTGCAAACGAAATACAAAAATCACCAGAAAATTAGAAAATGTTTGATCAATAGAATAAAAGCTTTTGAAGAATTTCATCATAAGCTGGTTCCAACCTAAATATAATATCGAGGGCTACTCACCTATTCGTCCAATATTATTAATGGGGTTGATACCAAGTACTAAAGAAGAACTGGTACCAACTGGCCCTTGATGTTGCATTGGAATAATCGGAAACGGACTATTTGAGGGGCCACTACCTAGTAGTCTGGAGGGAGAACCAGGAGACTGGACTATCGGGCCTAATCCGCCTTGCAGGTTAAAAGCGTTATTACTGGGACCTGCAATATGAAATATATTGCATATAATATTATAAAGAATTAACAACCATTATCCCTTTCCCATGGCGTTGTAACTCTCGTCAGTTTCAAACGTACAGACAAAAAATATATTTTTAAATGCGGTATATTAAGATACTTCGTATGCGCGGCAACACATGATAAAAACTATAACCTTTTATACGATGCTATAACAATACGCTGTCACTTACCTGCTAAAGTCATATTTGATAAATTTGTGCCTAAATTTTGCAACTGCTCCACTCCAGCATGACCATAAAGTTGCCCTGCAAACACCGTCTGATTCATAGCATTGCCATCCATACCCCTTGCTCTCATTAAAGGGTTGCTATTCTGTTGTCTGCTTTTTAACGCCATTGAGCAACCATTGATCACGCTGACAATGGCTTCATGCAATTCAGGGTTAACATTGGTTATGCATCTTTGCAGGCAAAAAATAATAGTTGATAAAGTTTCGACCGGCAGATGGGGAACCGGCTTAGTTAAACTGTCTTCCTAAAATTTGAATAAACAGAGCCATTTTAATTTTGCAAAATTAATAATTTAATTGTTTTCAGAAATTTAATTCTTTCTTCGTCCAGAAAATATCTTATTCGTTATACCTTTCCTAATTGCGGACATCGTCTATGTAAAAATTTCACACAAGCTGTAATAAAGCCTTCCCCATTATCGCTGATCTTATCAGAGAGCCACTTTTCTAGCTTCAAGTATTCTCGTCGAGAAGCTAAACACGCAAGATCAATTATGAATGGATATGACTGAGACGATTGTGCATTCAACAGCATTGACAAAGCCTTCAGGTCTTGAGCAACATCCAAAATCCTTGATAATCTGAAAAAAACAATCACATATAATTTGCAATTGGAGCAAACATAACACATCCACACAACCATAATTTTTTATTTGATCTGGTGTTGAGACGCATATCCTACAGGATATGCTCTCTAAACTTACCGTTGATTTGCATTCAGCAGACCAAAATACTACCGGTTATAAGTACCTTCAGATCAAACAAAAAAAATTTGGTTATGTGGCTGTGTAATTACTTATTTTTGGATTAAAAATATTTAAGCAAAGCTGATCTTACCTGGTTTGATCACATTCGCCTCTAGTATACCATTCAGACATAGCGTGCATAATAATAGGTTTGACATTGAGAGTCTGTGTATGCCAGGCGTGGTGTAAAAGAATTCCAGAGTTTGGATGCGTGCCCAAGAAAATGGGAATCAAATTGGTCAATAGTTCTTGGCGTAGTAAAGTTATAGGTCCAGAAATCTGAAGAAGTGCTAGCAGCAGCACATCTGGACAGCTAGAAAATATTGTTTTATAGTATATATTAAACATCATAATAAAGCTGCGTATGCAGCAATTACATGTAAACAGCACATATTTACGTGTTTACCTATGAATAGGTGCTTTGAAAAGGTCCTGAACCGCTGCATACAGTCCACATTCGGACATACTCAGCAACAACTCAACAAGATTGAGAGATCGCCAATTGGAAAACTCTTTTCCATCCTGTTCAGGAGGCGTTTTCAGCGCATCCAAAGCCACTGAAGCACATGCGTAATCACCAAAGCAAAAAACGTCTGGATTTTTTAGTGCTTGCTGAATCAAACTAAAGTGACCTTCAACATTAATCCACCGCTTGTAAAACTGATCAACTGGAAACGTCGTATCTAAAATAAAATTCCGCACAATTGGTAAACTTTTCTAACTCAGAATAAAAATACTCAAATGAGTCCATAATATCCGATATTCAAAATTACCTGGATGAAATCCTAATGACTGAAACCCTTGTCTAAGAACGCTAATCAAAATGCACAACCCTTGTCTATCTTTAATGACGAATTCGGGATGGTCCAGTTCAGAAACAACATTGTTCCATTGAAGCGATGGCGAAATTTCCTTCAGTGCTTGAACAAATATTTCGATGTTCCATGATCTCACTTCTGATCCTTTGAAAGCTCCTGAGAGAATAAAAGAATTTGCAAATGACTGTGATATGAACAATGCATTTATTTATCCAACATCTAAAGCATGGTATCTCCATCTACGGTTAATTTTATCTGGTAGACTACTTTCAGTCGTAAATGCTTAAATTTAAAACACATCATACCTAATGCATCATCTAGTCCTGTGTGGGTTCGGCACATAACCGCCAAGACTCTGGCTACTGTGGAGGGAGCAATATCCCGACCACCGAGCTTTATAATTGAATTGCGACATTCTTCTAAGGTTGATGTGAAAATATATCCCAATTCTTTGACTAAATCCGATAAGGATGAATCTAGAGTACCTCCAGACAACCTAAAATTAAAAACCCAAACATGCTTAGTAATCGATTAAATAATTTGATCTCTGAATTATACAACTGAGTTAACCAGATAATGAACAAAACTCAATTGCTCAATATACCCACCCAGGTCCGTCTGAAGACATTTCTGAAAACAGTTCTGCTTGTTCTGGGTAAACTAAAGGAGCTAGAACAACAGGAACTTGATCTCTAGGAAAATCGCGTTGCAAACTGTTTAGAAAAGTCGTGTGGATATCGTTGGTTAGTCCTACTTCTTTCGGACTCTCTAAAATTGATGACAAAATTAAGTGCAGCAGTTCAGGACTGGTTTCCTGAAGGCTTTCTTCGTATTGTCGGTTTCCCCCGGTATCTAAAAACCCAATGTATATATAATAGATAATTTAACATATCGTGCACGTTTAAATGTTTCCGACAAAACTGAAATGATTTGACAGAATAGAGTTTGCACATAGAACTTTGATATGACTGAATTGAGCGTTTCCACATAGAACTTTGATTATCAAAAATGCTTGGATATTTTTTATCTCCTAAAACACATCTTCTTTCTTATGATAAATATTCTTATCAGTGAAATTATCCTAGTTCACGATAGGAAAACAACATTTATTTGCATAACTTACCAATGTAAGATCTTACTAATTGGGGTACAGCTGTTCGAAGATGACTATGTGCAGCACTAGCTATCTCGGGAAACGTAGAGTTCCGTAGAACTAATGCAAAAAGTACTTCCCGTACGGATGATAATCGAAGACACTTAGTGAACTGTGTGAAGAACTGAGATCCAAGTTTCAGATTCTTCTGCAAGTTAACGATAATTGTAATTGAAAATGTTGTAAAAAGTAAACGCTGGTTTCAAATAAGTGGCTTTACAACCGTACCTTTTCGTTCGTCAGTGGAAAATTGGTAATATGGCAAATGATCGTCAATAAGGCGGGAGTATTCAAAACTCGACCACTTTGATCTAGAAATGCTTGAGACTTGCTGTTTGCTTCACTGAAGTCAACAGCACCATATAAACATTGGAATAGATGACGATCTGCTTCTAAACCATGCAAGTTTACAATCTGGAATTAAATATATTATTATTGACTGAACCCGTAAATTTGAAGTAAATTATCAACAGAGACAAGGAAATGAAGGAATTCCGAGCAAGTTTCTACTGGATTTTATCTTTTAAGAATAATAACTAAGTTGATATTGGCAGTAAATTAAAATACGTTATTAAATTTGGTGTGTTTTTAGTTTTTACGCTAATAGATTAATTTCTAAAGTATTGCTAAAAATATTTTGAATTGGAGATGGGAAAATTAAGTGGCACATTGCGTGACATACAAAAAGCATTAATTAAACGGTTGCCTCATATAATTATATTCACTGGCAAAATAAATGATTTAAACACAAGCCAGCCTAGGATTCAGATAATGCCTGAGCAGTATCTTCAAACTAAACATTATAATCACTTGGTCGACTTTGGGCTAATCTTACCCAAAAAGTTTGAATATTTGTATAGTGTGTATAATCGCCATTCTTCTAGTAGTAACAACATGGAAATATTGAGCTAGCTACAAATAAATATACTAAACTAAATAAAAATAATAGTCAGAAACAGATTTGTACTCATGTGTTTAGCAATATCACCAGACCAAGATTCCATACATTTTTATTTCTAAAGACATGTACAGACATTCTTCAATTCGTAAATAAAATTGAAATGTTGATATTTTCAAAAATTATCTACTATGTACTTGTACTTGTATGGAACCACGTATTTTCGTTTATCAGTTATACCTTCAGTAATGAAAATAAATTTGTATTTTTTGTATTTATCAGATAGATATAAAACATATATGAACCATTAATTCAAAATTACCAAACTTATGAAGGTAATTCTTCATTGTCAATTTCTTCTGATATTTGCTATCCTAACTACTTTCCTTTATAACGTACAGCTTATTTTATGCTGCATATGATTTTGTAACTTTATTTAGCGGAGACTTTAATGATTTATTATTCTTTAGCCACATTAGCTTTCACGGTCAAACCTTCTGCAAATAAATATTCAAGTTCCAGTATATGTCATTGGCTTCTACAAGTGTCACGATTCTGAGATATTTTTATACAAACATAATGTTAAGAAATTTACACATTATTGATCAGTTAATTACTAACTGAACCAAATATGACACGATTGCTTTCCAAACAATGTTCTAGTTTGTTTTTGAATTTTTTGATTATTATTCGTATTAAATGTACACTCGCAAAGATGCCACGCCAAAACTGGACTTGAAACATAAACATTCAACAATACATTTATTTCCACAATTTTGTTTCGAATGTAACAGTTATAGATCTTGAAACAAAAATGTCCTTTTTAAAAACCAATGTTTTATCAAGACTGACAAGACCTCGCATTGCTGAAGATGTGACAGAGAATGAGAATAATGAGCAATTCGGATTTCTTATAGGCTATGAATAAAATACTTTACAAACAGAATGTGTACGATTCGACTGCTGCGTTTGTATGGCATGGCTATAACTCAGTAAAACAACTTTGCCTTCACTTTGTCAGGTTCGGACTAACTTCAGCACAAGAAAACCATATTGAAACATGTCATACTATTTTTCTGTCTTGTCTATCGGAAGCAAAGTTGGACACTTATTTCCTTGTACTGATTAGAACATAGTGATAAATATAAACCAGGCGAAGCAGTTCTTTTTTGCGTTAAATACGATATCAGATAAAATACGTACGGAGATTCATTGAACGAAGTGGCACTTGCCTTTGGTGTGTCAAAACTTAAATATTTTTTACTGTCTTTTTCACGGCACACTTTGCCTAATAAAATACAAAGTGTTTCATGAGGAAGGAGCGTATTTTAACTACGTATTCTACGTCCGAAAATAACCCTGGTTTGTTAAATAAACAAAAGCTCAAAAATGCTTCGCTACGGATTTACAAAGAATAATTTAATTAAAAAACAGGGTAAATATTGAATTTAAAAAATGCAAAATTTGTTTAAAATGTTACTTACTCCAATACAAAACGGTGGTTCCCATTTAAATGTGTCCAATTTGGCGCACTTACCACAAATCCTACTTTAGAATCCTAACCGTTTGTAGTAGTAAATATGTAAAAGATATTTTTTATTTGTAATACAAGGAATTTCAAAAGTAATTGTAATAGTTAAAAATTAAGTGGCGTACCATTTTTTTCTTTAACTAATTCGGTAGCGAGCAGATACCTACGGTACCGCCAAAAATTAACAAAATTATTTTATCGCAAAACATACATCTTCCCCAACTATGGAAAATATTTCCATGCATTTTCAAGAAATGTATAATTTTGCAATTTTTAAATTAAATTTCAACACTGTAAATCCGTAAAGAGGCATTTTTTGAGTTACGTATAGTTTATCTAGCAAACTAGGGTTATTTTCGGACGTAGAATACGTGGGTAAAATAATGCCCCTTCCTCATGGAACACCTTGTATTAGGCCTGGGTAACACTGTGTTGAGATGCGCTATTGAGTTGTTGCCGCTCTCTCAGTTAACGAGTTATAACTCATCGGTTAAAGAGTTATAATTCATTTGTTAGAGCTTTACGAGACTTGAATTTTCACATCTAAAAAAGGGTTAGTAACATTTTTTCTGAATAACGTTTTACTACTTTAATCAAACTACTAAAAAAGGTAATCTAGATTTTCCCAGCAACAGAACTGAGTCCAAAGAAAGTCGACGAGTTTTCTTATAAAATCGAGCTCTTCATTTTTTTGCATAGAAGATTCAGTTTCCCAGTATTTTACAGTAAATCGTTAGGAAAAACGCAGTTTTTCTGTTTAGAGACAGTGCTGTTTAGAAATATTGACCTAAAAGTGAAGAAACTCAAGCTTCCAAGAGTTTTCCAAATAAATGACCATAAACTTTCGCTTCTTCAGTTCGGGGAAATATTTTGAAATAATTGTTAGGGTTTTGTCCATAATTCGAATCTGAAAAAGTTTTCCAAACATTTTTACAAAGCGGTTAAGGAGGCGAGTGTCAATAAAATGTATCTTATAATTACATTTAGGAATCTTTTCCGGGCTTTGAAGCCGTGGTCTATCGGAATTTCTTCCTGACGTTTCGTCCACAACTGCGGTGGACATTTTCAAAGGCGATGAGGCAGTGGGCAAAGTGATCTCCCGTGCTTTCCGACTAAGACTGTCTTAGTCACATTCCTAAATGTAATTTAACCGGCCGTGAAAGCATTCATAGTATCTTATAATTTTTCACACAAAATATCTGAATATTACCAGTATTTTAATTAAAACTAAAAAATTATGCGATTTTTGCGTACAAAGAATTGCTTAATAGAAATTTGTTAAAACTGGAATGACCTGAAAATTTATAGGAACATTAAAAATCTTCAGAGCAATGAGGGCGGCCAATTTTCCAAATAATTTTTCTACACTTTTGCTTTCTGGTCGTTTTTTAGTATAGTCCTAATTACTTTCGGTAAAAAACTGAATAGAATTATTTAGTTTTTGCGCCAAATTCGAAGCTGAAGAAGGTGTAATAAAAGGAATAAGGCGAATTTTCTTCCAAAATTAATTTTGCAATTTTTGACGAAAAACACCCTAATATTGTCAAAAAAGAAGAAAATCATCAGAAAATAATGCTTCTTTGCTTCGATTAAAAACTTTTAGTTTTGTGATCGGTTTTGCAGAAAACCAAAATGGTTTTCGACAAAAAAAAAATTGGACAAAGATAATCTCTTAATAGAATAAGACCTTTATCAGACGAATTGTGACTTATGAGGAGATATAGATTGTCTACGATCTACGCGACCGACGAAAAGGTGGTCATCATTCTGGTGTGCAGCAGGGCTAATTTACTCCAAATTTCTGAATCCTGTGGTTCCAGGGGTAAAGTAATGTGAACAAATTAACGAAATACACCAAAAATTGAAACCTGCATTGGTTGACCTGTAATTGGTTAACAGATATGGGCCAATACTCCTCCAAGACAAAGCGAGGCATATCTCACTAACTACTCGATAAAAATTGCATAAAGTAGGCTACAAAGCTCGAGCTCACCCACCATACCCGCCAGATCTTTCGCCTACAGATATCACTTATTGGATACATATTGGCTACAGATATCACTTGGACAACTTCCTGCAGGAGAAACGCTTAATGAAGCAAGATGAGGCTAAAACGGCCTTCAATGAGCTCATAGCGTCTAGAAACCCGGAATTCTATATTCTAAGGGCGCTTACTTTAATTAACTACATTAAGTTTAAGATGAGTTTTATTCGTTATGCTGTATTTCATGTGTTCCAACCTAACAGCTTCAATCATAGATTGTGCGAATGAAAGACAAACGCATAAAATACAATATAAATAAATAAACTAAATCGACTATGTAAATATTGTCTATTGTAGATATAAAATCATTATGAGACTCATTCAACTAGGTGAATGTAAAGAAATAATGTGGTAGCACATTATGTAACCTCAAAATTCAGAGCATAAACTCGATATTTAAATAAAGCAGTATAATGCAGAAAATGTTTTTCGTCAACAGCGTCAATGATGAATCGAATACTTGATGAGTGAAAACTTAATACCTGGAATAAAATACTATAAAATAAAAAAAATCAGTTTCATACAAATCTTAATACAAACAGCAAAAACTCATAGCGGATGCCTTGGTGGCATGGTGCTAATTTCCGGGCTTTTCCATAAATCGTATTTTAATCGTTCAACATAGTGAGTGCATGTGTTGAAGAGAACAACCTATAAACTAATAACTTACGCAGTTCATTTCTCTGTTTGAACACCTTTTCTAGTACTATTTTATCTATAGAATAGCTCCTTGATTGGAGGGTACCACGTTGGTTAATGGCTAAATTTACAATGATCAATTCTTACCTGGATACTTTTCACCAATGAGCTTTGAAATTGAAAAGTAGTAATAGGAAAGCTTGAATATGAAATATCTACATTTTTAATGGGTTTAGTAAAGGCCGTACCGCTTGCTCATGGTAAAAACAAAACATAACCAAAATTACGTTTTTTGATCATATTAAATTAGCACCTAACGGGGGCAACTCCACATGTCTAAAATTAACTGGATGCACCAACCTTAATTAGTTCGTCCACTACTTGTTGGTAGTTCTTTTTAGTTAATGTAACAACTAAATAACCGATTTGTGACAAGGCAAGAGACAACGAATCAAGGTTCATAGTTCCATGAACGCGGCCTCGAAAGCTTCAAATCTCTTTGAAGCTTTCTTTGGTAAGCACTTGCACCAGAACGACGGAGTCTTAACAGTTTGTGGAAAATAACTGAACATTGAATGGCCCAAGACCATCATCGAGTCTTAATACATGCACGTTTTCACCTGATAACACTCATTCTAAGACTATTAATTTCAATTTATAACACAAAGAACTGCAACTTTCAAGAAACCAACGCAAATCACAAGCAAATGGCCAAGTCGGAAGTGAAGGTTTTGACTTTCGACATGCTCGACAATCGACAGGCGACAGCCGACAGAAGGTGGTGGGAGTTAAAAAAAACTCCTTAAACATTTGGATTGCTCTTTTCATTAATAGGAGCGTTTTTCGATATTATTTGCAAGAAAGTCAAATCTCGGTTTACGAAAATTATAAATATATCTCGTAATTTGCGGAGCATTTTAAAAATAAAGTCGTTTTTCTGAATGTGTAGGCGTGGTCGACGCAGCACAAGTTGTAACAAAGCATAGGCTGATCGACTGTGACGTCACAAGCTGGAGCGAGTTTTTCCAACGTAACTTTCGAATATACTGACAAATTATACAGAGTGTCCCTGAAGTCGCTGCACACATAGAGAAAGTAAAATATTATTTTACGTACTCTATGGCTGCACAACGCTTCTCAATAAATTTCTTACCTAGAAATAGTACATACGATCCAGACTTGCTTATATCCAGTGTTGCCTCATGTTTCTGATGACGCCTCCAGGGCGTCAAAGTTCTCAAATTAATATCGTTTTTTCCAAATAATGTCTAAATTCCAACAATTAC